ACCAACCCTAATTGCCACTTCTTGTAACATCACTGGTCACTCACTGAGTCACCGCGGCTCAAAAAATGGTTGACCCGTGTTAGTGAAACCAACATTTAACATAAATCCACGTGTCCGCATGTGAGAAGATCGACGAGTTAACCCTCTTTATATTGAAATCTCATTAATTCATTAACCATAGGAAGTCAGAAATTTGAATTTGTTTTTTTTTTCAAAAAAATAAATAAAATAAAAATCAAACTAATAAAATGTTCTATGATTGGATGAATAATTTAATCCGATACGATTCGATAATATTCTATTTCATACTTTTCTTAATTTTATTTTATTTTGCTCCCTTCTTGGAAGATGACTGATTCCATAATTAATTAGAGTATCGTTTTTTATCTCAAAAAACAAAAAATAATAAAAAATAAAAAAAATTAATTTTATATATTTATAAAATTTAAATAAGAAAAAAAATAATATTTAAATGATTGAAATAAAATATTTGTATATAATTATTACAGTATCGTGCTCATCTTCCCATTCATTTCTCACCATGCGTATGATGTATTGTCCTTATTATGGCATTGATTAAATTCAGACAAAATGAAACCCAAATTCAAATGCAACTCCGGTGGGTCCGCCGCCCCTCAATTCAAAACGTTCTATATATACACCTCCAGCCTCCGGAGTTGATTCTCTGTTAATAAAACGATTATTATTTCTCTCTCTCTCTCGGGTCGCCGGAGTATAAGATTCCGGCAGCCTATCATTGTTGGTAAATAATCAAGATTCCGGCTAAAAACTCGCCGGAAAGTCTTGATTGATGGCCAAAGGTCGAAAACTAACTACTAGTCGGAGTGAACTGTATTTAGGAAGCTTTAGCTATAGCCACGGCCACGGAGCGGCGGCGAACGGTTCGTCGGAGCTCCGGGAAGATGAAGTTTGGTCAATGGTTGATGACGAATCGGCGGTCAACGAGGTCACTTACCCAGCTAGCTCGGAGTGGAGCACACGCGCCTCCGTGGAGAGTAACGGAAGCTTGAGCGGCAGCTATAAGAGCCGCCGCCCAAACCCACTCACCGACCACCACCACCACCGCCGCCGCCATGTCGGTGGCTTGTCGTTGGCCTTCGACAACTCGAGCAGCAACGCATCCTCACCGAGAATCGTCCACCAGTTCCGGCCGCCGGACAGCATGGCGGAGTCTCCACGTGCCCGCCACGTGGCCAGCTCGGCGCCAGTTAATGTGCCTGATTGGTCGAAGATCTACCGGGTTAACTCGGTGGAGTCGATGCAGGACTCGGACGATGGGATGTATGACGACTCGGAGGTTGTTCCACCACACGAGTACTTGGCGCGTGAGTATGCGCGTAGCAGGAAAATGGTGGCCAACTCGGTTTTTGAAGGGGTTGGGCGAAAACTCAAGGGCCGGGACCTGAGCCGAGTTAGGGATACAGTGTGGAGCCAGACCGGGTTCGATGGCTAAAAATTACTACATAATTAAGAAGTTTAATTAACTATCTTATTAATCATGGTAAATATTTGAATTTTGGTACCCTTTTTTTTTTGGTTAATTGATTTCTTGGATATTGCTAAGTGCAAATATTTAAGTGTTTCGCCGTTCGTAAGATTTTTTTTCTTTTTTAAATGCAATTTTCGACGATGTAATTCTCTTTATATAGGTCGTGTTCTGTGTATTATGCGAAAACTCAAGTGTAAAATTATAGTAGTTCTTTCGATAAAATTCTGAGATTATTCATTTGTTTCATAATAAAAAAATAAATGTCGAATCGGGTGAAAGTAAATCATCGCATAATTATATTGTTATAATATTATTAAAGCTCAAATTCTACTATTAAGAAAATAAGTATTTAACAAAATTTCAAGATTCAAATATAAAACTATGGCTGAAACTCAAACCAAACTACTCGACATTCAATCTGATATCATTCGTTAAAAGCTCATTTGAGCTCAATTTGCTATCATAAGACGATATACAACTCGCCTTGAGCTATAGACTAGAAGAAAAACGATAAACTATATATTTACGTCAATCAAGTTACTCGAGATCGATTCATATTCTGTTCGATTAAAGTTCGAATCAACTGTTTATCAAACAAAGTTCAAATGTAACAGTAAAAACTCGATAAATAATTAAACAAACTTGAACAACCATTCCGTTCGACTTGAAGCACATAGAAAAAAAATAGAGTGGGGCCCAATTGGGAAGATATAAACAAGGAACTTTAATTGGAAAGTGAGAGATAGGAGTGGGAGCAGAAATGGGCAAGTGGAGAGATTCCCATAATTGAAATCTAGTGGATACATTTTTGCTTACCTTTTTTATGAAAATGATATATGATGAATAACTCCATTTAATTGAGGTCACCACTCCTCTCAACCATTGGTTTATTTTATTTTATTTTTATTTAATTGTCTCATGCAATTATATATGCATAAGGGTATAATCGTAATATCGAAAATAAAAGAAAATTACTCAATGCTCGATTCAAGATCGATTTTGATGCCGGCTAAATGGCTTAATCGCAAGGGAGTGTCGGGGGTCTCGGTTAGCGTTCCGACGATCAAATTAGTCGGTATATGGGGAAGTGATGTACGCTTATCCCCACGTGGAGTTAGCTGCAGGATTTATAAAATGTTAGTGGGCCATGTGAGAGTACGCGGGCTTTGTTACTTGGGTTCTTAGGGCAATTGAGCCCGTATCATATTTGTTAAAATAGCGAACCAAATATGACCTGGTTTTCGTCCGATAATTTATAATGTTTGACTTGAACTCGAGCTTGTTTTGAAAAATAAAATATCTGTACTTTTTTTTTTTTTAATTTTTCGGCCTTTATGTTCATCTGCACACAAATAAGTTGACTGGCACTGTAGGAAGTTAATGAATAGGGAACTGTTAGAGGAAATAATTTTATTTATGTAATATGCATATATTTATATTACATATTCAATGTATGCAATTTTCGGATTTAATTAACCCTTAATTAGATGATTTTATTAGATTTAATCAAGCCTTAATTGTAGTGATTAATTCGATTAGATGTAATACATAACAAAAAATTCATATTGTGCTTCATTTAATATTGTTCCACCATTTTTTCAGGAACGAATTAAATACCTTTGAGAAAACAAATAATAAGAATGATGAACAAATAAGACTAAAATAATAGGCAAAACGGATCATTAACAATAAAATTAAATGTCATCCTTCATCATTTCAAAGAAAACCATTCACACACACACACACACACACACACACACACACACACATATATATATATATATATATATATATATATATATATGTGTGTGTGTGTGTGTGTGTGTGTGAGAGAGAGAGA